ATATAATAAAAAAAGATTTGTCATATTTCAAGAAACTGCATCTCTATAATTAAAAAAAAAAAAAAAAAAAAAAAGCCAGGTTCAAAAGTGTTGGGCAGGTATCTCTGGTATTAATTGAAAATTAAAAAGAAAAATCAGTGGAAAGGTCAAGCAGGACAGTATTATTTTGCATGACATGAAGATAGGCCATAATCAGTAAGTAGGCTGTTAAACCTAAAGTTCTGGCTGGGCACAGTGGCTCACGCCTGTAATCCCAGCACTTTGGGAGGCCAACGTGGGAGGATCACCTGAGGTCAGTTTTGAGACCAGCCTGGGCAATATGGCGAAACCCCATCTCTACTGAAAATGCAAAAATTAGCTGGCGTGTGCACCTGTACTCTCAGCTCCTTGGGAGGCTGACGTAGGAGGATTGCTTGAACCTGGGAGGTGGAGGTTGCAGTGAGCCAAGATCATGCCACTGTACTCTAGCCTGGACAACAGGGTAAGACTCCATCTCAAAAATAAAATAAAATAAAATAAAGTTCTGAGTAGTAATTTCATTACTCTGTGTGGGATTTCATTGTTTTATAATTATTGTATAAATATATCTCATGGTGATATGGTTTGGCTCTCTGTCCCCACCCAAATCTCATGTTGGATTGTAATCCCCAGTGGTGGGGGAGGGACCTGTTGGATGGTGACTGGATCTTGGGGGCGAATTTCCCCCTTGCTGTTCTCGTGATAGTGAGTGAGTTCTCATGAGGTATGGTTTTTGAAAGTGTAGCACCTCCCTCTTTGCTCTCTCTCTTTCTCCTGTTCTGGCCATGTGAAGACCATACCTGCTTCCACTTCGACTTCCGCAATGATTGTAAGTTTCCTGAGGCCTGCCCAGAAGCAGAAGCCTGTACAGCCCACAGAACCATGAGCCGATTAAACCTCTTTTCTTTATAAATCACCCAGTCTCAGCTGCGTGTTTATAGCAGTGTGAGAATGGACTAATACACGTGGGTTCCAACGTGGAGTGTGAGCTCTGTGAGTCTAAGGACAGTGCCACCTATTACCCAACTTACAGCATCCGGTAGTATGTACACATACAAGTAGTTATTCAGTTAATGTTTAGAACCATGTAATCCCAGAGCTGGACTGAACATTTACAGTCATCTACCCCATCTCATGCTCGAGTTTTCTCCCTGATATTCTTCTAAGTAGTTATCCGCAGGTCCTCTTTCAAACTCTATTCCTTAGAGTTACTAGAAAGTGTCAGGGGAAGTAAAGACACGTACTGGTCCCCCCTTCAATCAACTATCTGTGCTTTGGTGAGTTTTACACATTTGAGCTTCTATGATTTCATTTCAACAAAGCATTAAAAGAAGTTTCAAATGCTACAATCTACCTTATGTCTGAAACCCTCTAAGGATAGTCAATGCTGGTCCTGAGCAAATAATTCTTTCTAAACAACAGCTGCTCAATCATCTATCTATCCCATAGCCCTAGCAGTTAATACTCCACCTAGTATAACAGTTTTTTAAAAAGTTTGGAGGAGAAACATTCTTATCATGAAAGGCACTTTGGAAAGTTTGAAAATATCTCTTATAGAAAATGCTGACAATCACCACATCTATAAATGGGAACAAATATAATAGTAACAGAAAACAGTTGTTCAGAGTTTTTTACATGTTAGAGATGGTCCTAACTACTTGCAATTGTGCATTTAATCTTCATAACCCTCTAAGGTAGATACTGTCAGTATTTCCATTTTATAAATGAGGTAGCCTAGGTTGATGACATGAAGAAAAGTGAAGTAAATTTGACCAAGAACACACAGATAGAAGCCACATTGCTAGTATTCCAACGCAGGCAGCTGTCTCCCTTTTACTAATATGCTATTTAATGGAAAACCCTAGACACCTAACTGGACCATAGCCTCATTGTGTCTTAGTCTAGTTCTGTGCCTGCCTCATACATTTCTGCCCTTCTCCACACACAAATTTTCTCTTTGTTCTACCAGCCTGGGCTGCCCCACTTCAAACAGTATTTATACACTTCCCACAGAGGTACCTCCTTACCGGAGCCTTGCAGCTGGCCTCGGCAATTCGGCCAGCTCCCTCTCCTGAAACTGCAGCTCCTCCTCCAGCACAGATTTTATAAGGTCTTTGCACTCTTCACACTCTGAGAAAAGACAGACATGCCTGCATCACGGAAGGCCAGACATGCTACTGTGGTCACTGCCTGCAGGACAGGAGGCAGGGTCTATCTCAAGGATAAAAGCGTCCCCAGTACGAGGCTTTACACTGGGATTTCCATATCTTTATTCCTCAGTCTCTCAACTACTCCCCATTTTAGAGATGAGGAAAGAAAAGCCCACAGGCTGATAAAATAACTTGACAAGATGATTCAACTGGAATGAGGCAGTCAGAATTCACATCCCCTGAGGTTTGACTCCAAATCTTTTTTTTTTTTTTGAGATGGAATCTCACTTTGTTGTCCAGGCTGGAGTGCAATGGCACGATCTTGGCTCACTGCAACCTCTGATTCCTGGGTTATTCTCCTGCCTCAGCCTCCCAGGGAGCTGAGATTACAAGTGTGTTCCACCATTTCCAGTTAGTTTTTGCATTTTCAGTAGAGGCAGAGCTTCACCATGCTGCCCAGGCTGGTCTCAAACTCCTGACCTCAAATGATCCACCCACCTTGGCTTCCCAAATTGCTGGGATTACAGCAAGTGTGCCAATGCGCCCGGCCATGACTTCAAATCTTAAGGCCAATTTACCAAGCCTTACAGCCTCTTAAGTAAAACATGAACATGAGGGCATGAAATAATGACTTCCTGTGTGTTTGGGAGGATACTAAGAACTATAGGACTGATATTTCTCCTGTTTCAAGAGTTTCAATAATCCCAAAATATTTCAAAGATTTAAACATTTATCTGTATACAACTGTGTAAAACTGCATATGGAGGAGAATGATCCAAATGATATATGCCCAAATGCTAATAAGTGGTGTTTTAAAGGGAGAACCAACACGTAGTGTTTGTCATGGTACTGTTGCAGTAGGTTTTTAAGAATTATCATCATGTGATCATCACCACTATCCAAAGAGGTAGTTACTACTCTATTACCATTACAGATGAGGAAACTGAGGCACAGTGACAATAAGTTAGATTTGAACCCAGGAAATTTGGCCCTAGGGCATATGCTCTTTAATTACCACACAATAATACCTTCATACTAAGGTCTTAGGTAGTATTTTTCTTCTTCTCTAGCTTGAGAAATTTTTTTCCTACAGTTACAATGAATGAAGTTTATTTTTTTTTAATTAGTTTTTCCACACACCAAAGCTCATCTTATCCCTTCTTTAATAAGTGGGCTTTTGGCTTTACTTTTCTATGACAGTAAGTTAGACAGCAACTTTTAGCCACCCCCCACACAATGATTTATTTTAAAATAATTGTGGAAATTGGAAAGCAAACTTAATTTCAATGTTAACCAGAATCCTCTTCTAATATCCCTGTTCCTCTCATGCCCTTGTTCCCATGTTTCCTTGTCATTACAGCTTCTCTCTTCCCTATTAGTAACAGTTTGGGGGTTTTATAGTGGATTTACAAATGTGAGAGCTGACTGTGGAGAGGAAAGGGTCAGCCCCTAACCTGGCCTGGCCTTCTACTGAGAACGGCGGTCTGCTCCACTTGGCCTTGTTCTCATTTTGGCCATATGTCTCATAGCTCTGATCCTGGACGTCCACCTGCAGTTGTTTGCTGTCTGTAAAGCTGATACTCAGAGAGAGACAGAAAGGGTGTTACAAAGTCTCTGATTTTCTGGAAATACCCTCAATCTAACCAGAGCATGAGGAATGGCTTATTTGAACTTATTTAAACTTCTGTGGGAAGAGAATCTTGATCCAGGTATCATAAAGACTTTTCTCCGTGTCTGCTATTGAAGTTCGCATCTCCACATATCTGTGACTCAGTTGAGAATAGGTAGTTTTAAGTTCCTTCAAGGCAGATAAGGTACATACCATTACCTCTTTCACCTCTGGCGCAGTGCTTTGCAAATGGGTGTTCTTTAAAAAGTTTAAATTGAATTCTGAGCTGTTTTAACCAACAGTGATGTTACATGTTTGTAGAAGCTGATACTCATTGCTGAGAAGGGAAAGACAGTTTCATGCCTAAACCAAGGTTTTGGTCTCTATTCCTCACTACATTCGCCCTGCAAACGTTACACCTTTGTGCCTCAGTTTTTCTGTCCTTGGCAAATTGAGAGTAAAATGCCCTCTTCTACCTTTTTGGGAGGGTAGTTAGGATAAAATTAATTTTGATAGAGAATAAAGTCTGCAGTGTTTCATTTCACAGAGGAAAATGGACAATCATTTATCACTTTGGTGACCATGCCCCTGTGGGACCTACTGTATTTCTGCAGGTGATTGGCCAGGGAGTAGCCAGTAGCTTTGGATGTCAGGAATTTCTCTGTGAGGTCTCGGAAGTTCTGTTTGCATTTTTCCAGTTCAGAGCACAAGTACTGATTGGTTTCCAGGATGCTTATTTCTGCGTTTGGACCAAAACAAGTGGTGGGAGATACGGCCATGCTGAAGCTTGCGGAGGAAGTGGAATCAGAGCCTAGGGAGAATAAACCCAAACAAATAATACATTAAAAACAAATGCATGGATTATGGTAATGGTTGCACTACTTGGGTAAATTACTAAAAATTATTGAACTGTACAATTATAATGGGTAAATTTTATTGTATGTAAATTACACCCCAATAAAGTTTCTTTACATTAAACAAAGGATTTAAACGAGTTAAAAGAAAGCAGATCTGATTCATTACTTACTTTTGGGATAAACTTTGTCAGCATCCCACAACTCTGAGAATCCTCAGCCACAAAAACAAGGCACAAGGTGCCTGAGCTTAGAGTCTAAGGTACTGTCTGTGGTTCAGGCTCTGATAGGAATGCCAGAGGTAAGACCCAGTGCCAGGTAACAGTCTGGAGTCATGATAACAGAATTAGAAGGTGGGGGTGTCATGGAATCTTAGGATCTCTGCCTTCCAGATGTCTAGGCCATGTGGAAACACAAGGTATCTTCTGAGGGTCACCACCAATGGAGACCACTCCCTCAGCAGTCATTCTCAGTACTTGTATACCCTTGTGACAATACCACAGGCCTATCTCTTTCTAAAATGTAACCATATTTTCATTGTTTATTATTGCAAATGCATAGACAACATCAAGGAATACATATTTCCTCAAGTTCTATCGTTGTGTTAAGGACTGTCATGAAGTCATTTTCTTCCTAATGAAAAACTTAACACTTTTAGATAGTCTTGTCGTCCTTCTTTGGTTCTCCAGTTTTCCACATCATTTATATTATAAGAAAAAAAATACTGAATATTCTGCTCAGAGTGTGAATAATTGATTTATATGGATTTAGAGGCCAGGTACAGTGGTTCACACCTGTAATCCCACCACTTTGGGAGACCAAGGTGGTTGGATCACTTGAGCTCAGGAGTTTGAGACCGACCTGGGCAGCATGGTAAAACCCTGCCTCTACAAAAAATTGTTAAAAATTAGCCAGGCATAGTGGCACATGGCTGTAGTCCCAGCTATTCAGGAGACTGAGGTGGGAGGATCACTTGGGTCCAGGAGTTTGCTGCTGCAGTGAACAAAGATCACGCCACTGTACTCCATTCTGGATTACAAAGTGAGACCCTGTATCAAAGAATAAAAACAAAATAAGTAATAAAAGGATTCTGGTCAATGTCTTAATATACTTCTTGCTGCAAACCAATTTTATACTGTCATCTTTTCTCCCACTGGGGAAGCATGTTAGCTTCTTTTTTCTGTTTGTTTGTCTGTTTGTTTGTTTTGAGATGGAGTCCCGCTCTGTCACCCAGGCTGGAGTGCAGGGGCATGATCTGGGCTCAATGCAAGCTCCGCCTCCCGGGTTCACGCTGTTCTCCTGCCTCAGCCTCCCAGGTAGCTGGGACTACAGGCGCCCGCCACCACATCCAGTTAATTTTTTGTATTTTTAGTAGAGACGGGGTTTCACCATGTTAGCCAGGATGGTCTCGATCTCCTGACCTTGTGATCTGCCCACCTCG